TTTATTTATTTCTAGGAGAGAGAGAGAGAGAGACAGCGTGAGCAGGGGAGGGTCAGAGAGAGAGGGAGTCACAGACTCTGAAACAGGCTGCAGGCTCTGAGCTGGCAGTCAGCACAGAGCCCGACGCGGGGCTCGAACTCACGAACCGCGAGATCATGACCCAAGCGAAAGTCAGACGCTTAACCGACTAAGCCACCCAGGCGCCCCATGAGAGACTCTTGAATGCTGACAAAAACTGAGAACTGATGGATGTAGGGGGGAGGGGGGATGGGCATGGAGGAAGGCACGTGTGGGGATGAGCACTGGGTGTTATGTGGAAACTAATTTGACAATAAACTATTTGTAAAAAAAAAGGGGGGGAAATAAAAAATTAAAAAAATTAAAAAAAAAAATCATTACAGGGGTGCCTGGTGGCTTAGTGGTTACAGCCTGCAACTCTTGATCTTGGGTCATGAGTTGAAGCCCCACATTGGGCATGGAACCTACTTAAAAAAAATAATAATTACATTCATATCAGATGGGCGAAAATTAAAACATCTGATGACACCAAGGATGTAGAGCCATGAAAACTTTCATCCTCTGCTGGCAGTGGCGTAAGGTCGCCATGCAAGCCCTTTGGAAACCTGTCTGAAACCTGTTATCTCTGAAAGCTGGGTATGGACATGTCCTGTGACCCAACAGTCTTAGCCCAGGGCTCATGACATCACACACCCAGAAATCCGGATGAGAAATGAGGGTAACTTGGACCAAGTGGTAGTAGTAAAGGTGGGGGAAAGTAGTTAAAAGTGGGGCACATTTAAGTTAGAACTGGTAGAATTTGATTGGATGTGAGGCATGAGAGAAAGAACGGAGTCAAGGCTGCCAAGTCCTAGGTTTCTGGTCAGACCAACGAGTGAATGGTGGGTACATTTTAACGAGGTGAAGATGAGTTGAGGGGCAGAATCGAAGGGGAAAATCAGCTCTATTTTTATGCTACCACCTTGTGTGGTGTGTTTGATTTTTTTGTAAGTAGGCTCCACACCCAGAATGGAGCCTCGACATGGGGCTTGAACTCACGGCCCTGAGATCAAGACCTGTGCTGAGATCAAGAGTCAGACACTTAACCGACGGAGTCACCCAGGCGCCCCACCCCCTCGCATCACGTTTACATAAATTAAATGCTATGGACTTAAATGTGACTGTCCCCCGCTGCCCCAACAATTCACATGTTGAAGCCCTGCCCCCCAGCTGGAACTGGGGTCTTCGGTTAGATGAGGTCATGAGGGTATTTGTGCCCTGATAAGAAGAGACACCACAGAGCGCCTTGCTCTGTCCCCACCATGTGAGGACGCAGAGAAGGTGGCTGTGAGCCAGGAAAGAAACCGGCCACGGCGGCACTTTGATCTCAGGTTTCCAGCCTCCAGGACGAAGAGGAAAAATATCTGTTGTCTAAGCCCCCCAGTACTTTGCTAACACAGCCCGAGCTGAGGCCACAAGGGACACATACTGTCTTTCTAGAAAGGCCCCTTACTTCCTTGTCCTCTGACCAAGGCTTCATGCTCAGTCAAAAGGCTGCTTACAAGTGAGAGAAACTGTTATCCATGCGCATAATGTAGCAAAAACACAGCAAGAACCAACCTAAAATTCTCTTAACAAGAGAAGAGGCCAGACCAAAAAATTACAGAACGTCTGGGGAGCCTGGGCGGTTCAGGTGGTTTGGCATCTCGATTTTGGCTCAGATCATGATCTCACAGTTCATGAGATCAAGCCCTGCGCTGGGCTTCGTGCTGACTGCGTCAAGCCTCTCTCTCTCTCTCTCCCCTGCTCACACCCCACTCTCAAAAAAAATAAAATAAACTTAAAAAAAACTACAGTGCCGTTGAAATAAATGGTGGTACGTACATACTCTGGAATATGATTCAGCAGTTAACAGTGAAGAACTAAAAGAACTGAACTACATGTACCAAACGGATCGATCCGGAGACAACTCTGAATGAGAAGAGCAGGCACCAGAGCAAGAGCACCGTGTGAAACCATCTGAAGTTTGAAAACAGGCAAAACACGACCGCACATAATTTATGAACATAATACGTGTGTGGTAACAGTATTAGAATGTGCGCAAACTTAGTTAAGAGGGGAGAGGTGTGATCACATGAACTTCAGAGAGGATTTCAAATGGAGCAACTTTATAGAAAGTAACTACTATTCTTTAAAAAGAAACAAGAGCAAACATGGAAAATTTTTAAGATTTGGTAAAGCTAGGTTGTATCTCTACACTCCTCTGATGGCTTGAAACTTGACAATTTAAACAGCAAGAAAAGGGGCAGCTGGGTGGCTCAGTCACAAGCTTCCGACTTGAGCTGACGTCATGATCCCAGCCCCACGTCATGCTGTCTGCTGTCAGCACAGAGCCTGCTTCAGATCCTCTGTCTCCCTCTCTCTCTCTCTCTCTCAAAAATAAATAAACTTTAGGGCACCTGGTGGCTCAGTCTGTTAAGCATCTGCCTTCAGCTCAGGTCACGATCTCATGGTTCATGGGTACGAGCCCTGCGTCGGGCTCTGTGCTCACAGCTCGGGGCCTGGAGCTGCTTCCGATCCTGTGTCTCCCTCTGTCTCTGCCCCTCCCCTGCTCACGCTCTGTCTCTCTCTCTCTCAGAAATGAATAAACGTTAAAAAAATTTTTTAAGAATAAATAAACTTTAAAAATAAATAAATAATATAAATAGCAAAAAAAATACTTATTTGATCAGAGGAATGCTCACATTCTCGAAAATGACTTAGTTTGGTCAGGACTTCATCCTTGAACAGCTGGATGACCTGTGCGACAGTCTCTCGGTTTCGGCCCTGGCCCAAGGCACACAGATACTTCTCCAGAAGAGGAACATTCTTCAGATTCCAAATGAAGTTTTCTCGATGAAGGCAACTTAACTTTGGGTGATGGAATTTCTAAATCAAAGGCAAGAAACTGTTTAGAATGCGGACAGTCAGAGCGAGGCTGCCGGAGCTCCGTGAGGCCCTCCCGGTGCCGGTCCCGGGAGCACACTCACCCCCACTCCACTTAGTTTCCCCACAAAACGATGACTGTGTATTTGCACAGGGTCTCGGAGCGCCGAGGACGCACGCCCATCTCACTGGCGCCGGACAGTGCCGGGGATTAGCCACAGCCCGCGGCAGGGCCCGGAGGCGGCCACAGAGGGCTCCGCTCTCCCCTGCGACCGGCTGGCCCCTCATCACCTCTCGGACTTCACCTTCTGCTGCCTTCGCGGACTGGCCTCCCCGGCCTCCCTGCGGTTCGAGAACGTGCCAAGCACACCTCCACTCCACGGCCTCTGCATCTGCGCTTTCCTCCTCGAGGGAGGCTCTCCCGCAGACCTCTGTTCATCCAGGGCCTTAACTCTACCAGCTCCTTATTCGAAATCCGCCTTCTGTGGGGGCGCCCTGACCCTGCCTCGGCGCTCTCCCCAGGGCTGCACAGCCGTCCTGGTCCCCGTGAGCGCGCGGCGCACACCGCTAACCCGTAACGCACCCCCGCGCGCAGCCCCGGCCGCCCTCCCGAGCAGGTAAGGGGGCAGGAGCCGTGTGGGCCCCGCACCCTGAACAGTGCCTGGGACACAAGAGACACTGCGTACGCAACGTTTGCTGAATAAATGAACGTTCTCGCAGTAGAAGATTCTAGACTTGCAAGGGCCCTTAGATGTGGACTACTCTGAGGTCTGAAATGGCTTTGACCATCATTGCACGAAAGGGAAAACTGAGGCTTGGAGCAGGATAATGAGCTGAGTTGCTTACTGGGGGCTGAGGGAGGGCTGACCTGCCTTGGGGGTCACCAGCGGGGGAGGGCTTCCGCCGTGGGGGATACACGTTACGCGACAAGCCAGGACCCAGCGACACACAGGACAAAGAGGCCCGCAAACAATATGTAGACTATTACGTGTGGTCTATCCCGGTGCTCTGTGCTGTATTCCGGTTCTTTAGAAACGTCCCTCTAAAGTCATTCTAACAGCCACTCCGGAGACCGGGAGCTCCCAATCCTTCCCGACGGCCCTGCGCTCGCTACCACAGCCTTGCCAAGTGGCCTCGGTTTGACTACCTCGCACAGGAGGTACTTTTACCCTTGAGTGGCTCTGCCCTCTTCCTTCCGCTGAGCTAAACTGTCTCGGCGATAGTGTCCCTGCCGCGGGTTCTCGCTGTGACGTCCGGGGCCGTCTGGACCTCGGTCGGTGCTTCTCCCACATGACCGTCTTCCGTGTCCTCCTGGACAGGGCTCCTGCCCCTCCGAGCCTTCTCTTCTGCAGAGTCAACCTTTCTAGTTCCTTCCATTAGTCCTCACATGACAGGGTTTCGAATTCCTGACCACTGGTGCGTTAAGTGCCTCGGCAGGTCACAAAAATACTCTGCACAGTAAGCACTAAAACACTGTTAGAAGCTGTACCTTCTGGGGGTAAGGCAGGAACTAAGAGTGGAGAGGACAGGGAAGAGAAAAAAATGTTCATTTTATGCTTTTCAGTACTGTGTGAAATTTCAACCATACCTAGTTCTTACTTTCAGTTTTTTAACTTTGTTTATTTTGAGAGACAGTGAGAGTGCAAGCGGGGGAGGGGCAGAGAGAGAGGGAAGAGAGAGAATCCCAAGCAGGTTCTACGCTGTCAGCTCAGAGCCTGACACGGGATTCGAATTCACAAACTGTGAGAGTTGTGACACCCAACCAACTGAGCCTCTCAGGTGCCCCTCTTACTTTCATTTTTAAAGAAAGTAAAATATAACACTCTTGCCAGGCTTCCAAAGGAGCAGTGGTGCACTCGGGAAGGCTCTGAGTCAGCGCCCAACATGGCGGCGCGGTTAGCCATGCAGCCTGAGGAGACCCTCTCGGCTCCGGCGGGAGACGCGGGAGACCACCCGGAATCCAGGGGGGAGTCAGACACGGCTGGATTTCAACGGGCTCTGCCACTTAATATCTCGGATCTGTTTCCTTAACAGTGAGATCAGAGTGTCTACACCAGCTTCCCAGTCGTCTCTGATAAACTAAGACGTGAAACAAATCAAGGCCTTATACGTAATAGGTGCTCAGGAAAGGTCTGTTGGATGTGAATGTTGCGGCCGACGTGCCGGACTTCTCTGGCCTTTCTCTCCTGGCTCCTCGGTGCGCCACGCCGAACCCCTAAGGGTTTCATCACTACTATATTAAATGTAAACAACCCAACTGAAAGGGCACAGATGGTTAGACTGGATAAAATAGCAAGACCCACGTACACACCGCGTACGAGAAGCACTTGTAAGATAGAGACTGACATAAAGCAGCCAAGAATTTTTTCCACTCATTCCCAAGAGATTGTAAATATCAAGTGTCTGGGACAGAGAGCATAAAAATCCCCTAAATCTTATTGTTGGGGTGTTCCCAGCCCCGTCTCATCTCTTAGACCCTGCTAAGGCTCCATCTTACTCTTCTCTCTAAAGCACCAGCCAGACGGAAAGAACTGTGGGCAGAAGCAAGGAGCGATGGGGCAGACTGACCACAGTAGCCACAGAGCGGCACGAGGTGAGGTCAGGGGAGCTCTCTGCTTTCGTCTGTGGTAAGAAGCCTTTGCCTGCACAGATCTCAGCACCCACCAGCCCGCATCTCAGATATTTTCCCCTCTTCATCCCTCCTGTCCTTTGCTCCAGGCTACAAAGGCCACCTCGTGATTGATGTCAGGGGAGGACGCTGCCCACGTGTGCGTGGGGCTGTGTCCCAGCAGACACAGATCAGAACCCACGTCTTGCTCAGCCCCTCCCTCTCCCACAGGCTTCACATTAAATCAGTCACCGACTTTGGTTGGCTCTGTCTCCAAAATACATCTTGAACCTTTCCTCGGTTCAAGCCCTCAATCAGCTTTTATCTGATTATTCATTAGCTTCCTAGATGCATTCCTAGCCTCCATTCTGGCTTTCTGCCAATCTATCTACCACACTGGTCCACAGAGTGCTATAAATTAGAAATCTTTGCCTGTTTAAAAACCCTCCAAAGTCTCTAAACTCCTTAGTATCATACATGATAATGTATCTTATAATCTGACCACCAGACGTTTCCAACTTTATCTTGTCTCCCTCAGGTTTAACCCCTGTATTCCAATCATAATGAATTATCACAAGTTCTAGAACATGATATTGTACCGGCATGGCTGTCCACGTGCTCTTTCCTCTAGCTAGAAAGCCTTCTCTCCTTTTCCTCTGACTGATGGATTCCTAATTTTTAAAAACAGCTCATAAGTTTTGTTTCATTTTGTTTTTTTTAATCCAGTCCTCCTTGAACACCTGCTATGTGTCTGACACTGTTAGACAGCAAGGATAAGAGATGATTAAGGCAGAAACCAGGGGCACCTCGGGGGGCAGTCGGTTACTCATCCAACTTTGGCTCAGGTCATGATCCCACGGTTCGTGGGACCAAGCCCCGCCTCGGGCTCTGTGCTGAAAGCTCAGAGCCTGGAGCTGCTTCAGATTCTGTGTCTTCCTCTCTCTCTGCCCCTCCCCCTCTCAAAAATATAAATAAACATTAAAATATTAAAAAAAAAACAAGTAAGGCATAAACCAATCTCTTAAGAAGCTCACTGCTTCTGGGGAGTCTGGACGGCTCAGTCGGTTTAGCGTCTGATTTGATTTCAGCTCAGGTCATGATCCCAGGTCGTGGGATAGACCCCCGCATTGGGGGCTGCATACTGAGCATGAAGCCTGCTTGGGATTCTCTCTCTCTCTGTGCCCCTCCTCCTGCTCACATGTGCTCTCTCTAACAATAATAATAATAATAAAAAAGAAGCTCACTGCTTCTTATATACCTTATGTAACAGTAAGTGCAAATATGCAATAATTATGATACCATATGTGGTAGACTGATATTCTGATGTCCCCTTATGAATCATGCTTCCTTTATTCACACCCTTATGCAGCTTCTCCCAGGTGACTTTAGGATTAGACACGTCACTTGCTTTGGCCAATGGGACATTAGCTAGCATGATTCAAACGAGGCTCGACAACTGTCTGTGAACTGGGACTTGTCCCCTCAGAGCTCTCTCTCTTGGAAACCAGCAGCCATGTTCTAAGAATGTTGCACCATCTTGAAGGATGAGACACCACGTGACAAGCAGAGGCCACATGGGGGACTGAGCTCCCAGCTGAGTGCAGCTGCATGAGTGACCACAATCAACACCATGTAGAGCAGGAGGTCCACTCAGTCAACCCAAAGAAACAAGAAATAAGTCATTGTTTAAAGCCAGCAACTTTTGAGATGACTTGTTACACAGCACTCGGTGACTAGAACATAGCCAAGTACAGTGATAGAAGGGTGTCCAAGTTCAGAAGTAGCAAAAGAAGGAAGTAGTCATTTATACACAGCATGGGAAGAGAAGAGGTCAGTGGAGATTTCACAGACCTGGGCAGAAAGAAGCCTTACTGTCATAAAATTCATGCATCTAAGACCCTACTTCCTTCCTTTTATGTGGAGGCACCACACACAAAAAGGGAGTCTCACCCTGGGTTTATCTTTTAGGTAAAATAAATCAAAACTAGGGGCTCCTGGGTGACTCGGTTGAGCGTCTAACTTTGGCTAAGGTCATGATCTCATCGTTAATGAGTTCGAGCCCTGTGTCAGGCCCTGTGCTGAAAGCTAGGCACCTGGAGCCTGATTCAAATTCTGTGTCCCCCCTCCCCCCACGCTGTCCTTCCTTCACTTGTGCTCTCTCTGTCTCAAAAACATCAAAACTAACTAAATAAAAAATTCTTATAAATAAGATAAAACCCCAAATCTTACCTCCAGTGTCTTATCCAATTTGCCAGCTAGCATTCCAATTTCATACAATAGCTGGGGGCTGATGGGAATCTCAGCTATAGGTCTTCCTGGGAGGTAAGTCAGCAGCCTCACCAAGTAGCTTGTGATTTCCGAGCCATTATCTAGATGGATGGAAGGTTATATCCTGTCAACTATTCTCAAGAAAATGGGCTTTCTCCCTTTGTAATTATTATCGCAGAGAGTAACAGAAATCACAGAAGAAGAGAAGTGCACGTGGAGCCTAAAGCTAGGCGGCACGATTTTATGAAGCAGGACTGAGCGGATCGGAGGGGGGTGAGCGGACAACCCTCACAGCCCAGGAACTGGCTGCTCAGGTACCGGAGCACAGCGCCACAGCTCCACAGTTAGCACTAACTGTAAATTGCCTGGTCTGGCGAATGGATGCCTAAAACACTTTTTCATAAGTTTATAATTGAGGAAAGTGTGATACAGAGAAATGACAGTTTCAGAGGCTTTTTAAGGGGCAAACTGGTTTGGAAAGCCTATGCGTCAGGGCCCGGGCTGCGCCTTGCTTGTTTGGAGCCATGCAGATTATGACAGAAGGGGTGATCAGTTAAGAGGGAAACAATGGTCAAGATTTCCAACCTTTAACAAATTCCAGGGCTGAGTTGATTTCAGGCTGCTGCTTGGAGAACTCTACAGGTTCAGCTTGGAATTTTAGCAATTAGAGGGAAAAGGGCCAGAGTCTCACAGACGAGGACTCCAGGCCTAGGAATATCAAGCGGTGGGTCCCAGGTCACATACACAGAAATGACAGAGCTGGGATCTAAAATCCCTGATATCTAGGTCCTTGTTCTTTCTTCTATACCACAACACCAAAATACACAGCTGGTCTACTGAATAAAAATGTTTAATTATTTTACTGTTAAAAAAAAGTTCCCCTAATTCCATGTGTCCTTAGTGCCTCATCCATCAAGTCCTTTCTAAGGGGAAGAGTTACACCAGATCCTGGCTCTAACCACTTCTGAATCAGAGCCCCTGATCTGCACTCTGGGGATGCTGTGGCCTCCTCTAGCCGCTGAACAAATAACTGCGTCTACACTCGGAGCTACAAACCTGTTCTTGATATTCCCACCTGTAGCCAAAACACAGTAATGTACACGCACAGGTGATGACCAGCAAGGTGGTGGTTTCTTACCTACGGACACGAGAGAGGTTATGCTGTCTCCTTTAGTGCGGCACACAGAGGCTGTTGGGAACCCAGCAGCTTGCAGAAACATGATGATGTGACTCTGAACTTCAATCAGCTCTGGAGTTTTGCTTGACTCGGTGTTGCTTATTTTGAGGACATATTCAGTTGGGCCATCTGTAGTGTCTTTGGTTCTTGAAATGGATACATGAAAGTTTTGGTCATCATAGCTAGGAAGTGGCTGGATCGTGGACACTTTTAACCCAAATACTGATTCCACTAATGCAGAAGCTTGGGTTTCACTGAAAGCAGGCTTGGTGAGAGCCTGTGACCGCAGATCATCTTCACGCGACATTGTGTCTAGAGAAAACAAACTGGAAAGACACATATGATGAATATATTTACTGATGTGATGTTTCTTAAGACAGATCAATAATGTTGCTCAATATTGATTCTATAGTTCTTTTTTATTAAAAAATTTTTATTTAATGTTTACTTACTTTTAAGAGACAGAGACAGAGCACGAGCAGGGGAGGGGGAGAGAGATGGAGACACAGAATCCAAAGCAGTTTCCAGGGTCTGAGCTGCCAGCACAGAGCCCAACGTGAGGCTCAAACCCACGGACCATGAGATCATGACCTTAACCAACTGGGCCACCTAGGAGCCCCAATATAATTCTTATTATTCATTTTCACTCATAAAGTTAAAAAAACCACATCAGAGATAAAGAAGTGGGTGTTTTGGCAGTTGAAAAAAAATCCTTGTACCATGAATTACTTTTAAACTCACCTTGAAAACAGAAGGTATGTTTCCAGGGACGGAATACAGATGAGGAAAGCTCCCGGTACCACCTTGTCCAATTCCTGCCCTGCTCTCCCACTTTATCTACAGGGAAATTCAGGTCCTGGGAGGTGAGGTGCCTTACCCAAAGTGACATACGATGTAACAATAAGGACTCAGCTCTTGACACTCCTAAGCCAGAATTTTTTCCCTTTGACTATGTTACCATCTGTTTGGGGCTAAACTATAAACTCAAATACAATGGTCTTACTCTCCTAGCCCCACATTTTTTTGAATTCTAAGGTTCCCCCTCTAGCTTATCCCTCACACTCCCAGTGTACAAGTGTGGGCTGGTGTGCAGAGCGTCCTGGGAGGCACGGGGGGATATGCGAAGATGCGCTTAGCAGGCTCTGGGACCCCAGAGAAGTTAACTCATGGCGACAAATATCCTAACAATAAAAAGCTTAAGAGGCGTTCGCACAGACCAATGGAATAGAATTGAGAACTCAGAACTGGACCCAAAAGTGTACAGCGAACTAATCTTTGACAAAGCAGGAAAGAATATCCAATGGAAAAAAGACAGCCTCTTTAACAGATGGTGCTGGGAGAACTGGGCAGCAACATGCAGAAGAATGAACCTAGATCATTTTCTCATACCATGCACAAAAATAAACTCAGAGTGGATAAAGGACCCGAATGTGAGACAGGAAACCATCAAAACCCTAGAGGAGAAAGCAGGAAGCAACCTCCTTGACCTCCACCGCAGCAACTTCTTACTTGACACATCCCCAAAGGCAAGGGAATCAAGAGCAAAAATGAATCATCGGGACCTCATCAAGATTAAAAGCTTCTGCACGGCAAAGGAAACAATCCATAAAACTAATAGGCAACCCACAGAATGGGAAAAGATAGTTGCAAATGACATATCAGATAAAGGGCTAGTATCCAAAATCTATACGGAACTCACCAAACTCCACACCCGAAAAACAAACAACCCAGTGAAGAAATGGGCAGAAGACATGAACAGACACTTCTCCAAAGACGACATCCAGATGGCCAACAGACACATGAAACGATGCTCAGCATCCCTCCTCATCAGGGAAATACAAATCAAAACCACACTGAGATACCACCTCATGCCGGTCAGAGTGGCTAAAATGAGCAAATCAGAGAACTCTAGATGCTGGCGAGGATGTGGAGAAACGGGCACCCTCCTACACTGTTGGTGGGAATGTAAACTGGTACAGCCCCTCTGGAAAACAGTGTGGAGGTTCCTCAGGAAAATAACAATAGAACTCCCCTAGGACCCAGCAATAGCACCGCTAGGAATTTACCCAAGGGACACAGGAGTGCTGACGCATAGGGGCACATGCACCCCAATGTTCATAGCAGCACTCTCAACAATAGCCAAGACATGGAAAGAGCCTAAGTGTCCATCCACGGATGACTGGATCAAGAAGATGTGGTTTATCTACACGATAAATACTACATGGCAATGAGAAAGAATGAAATCTGGCCACGTGTAGCAACATGGATGGACCTTGAGGGTGTTATGCTGAGTGAAATAAGTCAGGCAGAGAAGGACAGATACCATATGTTTGCACGTATAGGAGAATTAGGAGGAACTTAACGGAGGACCGTGAGGGAGAAGAAGGGGGGAAAATAGTGGGGGAGGGAGGGAGGCAAACCATGAGAGGCTGTTGAATGTCAAGAACAACCTGAGGACTGATGGGGTGTGGGGGTGAGGGGGGGTGATGGGCATGGGGGAGGGCACATGTGGGGATGAGCACTGGGTGTTATATGGAAACCAACTTGACAATAAACTATTAAAAAAATAAAATAAAATAGGATGGGAAAAAAAACTTCAGAGGTGTTCAAAACAACAAGTTATAAGGCAATAAGTAATAAACTGAGGGTGCCCAAGAAACCCTGAATTAAGTACAAACCTGAAGTGTCTGAATTAATACTGAACGACTCCGTTTACCATAATGTGTAAAAAATAAGTTTCCTATGGCTAAGAGGAATAAGGGCTTGAAACAAAAACATTATGTGGGGCACCAGGCTGGCTCTGTCAGTGGAGCGTGCGACTCTTGATCTCGGGGTTGTAGGTTTGAGCCCCACGTTGGGGGTGTGGGGTGGGTAGAGATCACTTAAAAATAAAATCTAGGGTAATAGCGCCTGGGTGGCTCAGTCCACTGAGCGTCCAACTTCAGCTCAGGTCATGATCTCACAGTCCATGGGTTTGAGCCTCACATCAGGCTCTGCGCTGACAGCTCAGACACTGGAGCCTGCTTTGGATTCTGTGTTTCCTTCTCTCTCTGCCCCTCCCCTCTTGCACGCTGTGTGTCTCAAAAATAAATAAACATTAAAAAATTATTTTTAATTAAAAAATAAAATAAAATCTAGGGGTACCTGAGTGGCTCAGTTGGTTGAGCGTCCAATCCTGATTTTGGCTCAGGTCGTGATGTCACGTTTCATGAGTTCAAGCCCCATATCAGGCTCTGTGTTGACAGTGTGGACCTGGTTGGGATTCTCTCTCTCTCTCTCTCTCTCTCTCTGCCCCTCCCCGACTCTCACGGTCTCTGTCTCTCTCAAAATACATAAATAAAGCTTTAAAAAAAAAAAGAAAGAAATCCTGGGGCACCTGGGTGGTTCAGTAGGTTAAGTATCCAACTTTGGCTCAGCTCATGACCTAACAGTTCGAGGGTTCAAGCACTGTGTCGGGCTCTGTGCTGACAGCTCAGAGCCTGGAGCCTGCTGCGGATTCTGTGTCTCCCTGTCTCTCTGCCCTTCTCTCGTTCATGCTCGGTCTCTCCCTCTCTCTCAAAACTAAATGAACATTTTAAAATAAAATAAAAGAAATCCTTAAAAAAATTAAATTTCTAAAAAAACTACGGGCAGTTATGAAAAATAAAGTTACAGCTGAGTTTCTGAAATGGTTTATAAAATTAATATCTACCAGAACTATGACAGAGATTCAGAGGAGAGAGAACTGCTACAGCCTGAGGAAGATGTTCTTGACAATAGGGATTTGAACTGAGTTACTGAGTATGACTTGGGCAGACAGGTCCGGGGAGAGTGTTTTCTTCTCCGTGATGACGTGGCCCTCTGCACACACGTCTGGCAGCCTCTAAGCATCTAGTGACACAGGTACGGTGACACGGGGCTTCTGAACACCCTTCAAGGGCCTAGAAGTTAAGTTCCTTATATCCTCATTCCCTTTTTTAATAAAACAGTTTTATTTCAATCCTCCCTTCATGCTAAATTGTAAATAATTAACAACATCTTGAGGTAGGTTGCATTTTAGGGCACGATTGTGACTGCTGTTCAAGGGAGGTAGTGTTACATAGAAAGGATCTTGTGAACAGGTAGCTCTTATTGCTAGAAAGAAGAAGCTGTAGCTTCTGGCAGGGAGGTGGCAGGTGGAAATTTTCTGGAGAAAAATGTCTATATTTTTACTGTGTTTTGATTACATGGGTGTTTACATTTGTCAAAACTTAGCTTAAAACTTAAGTGAACATAAGATCTGTGAATCTCACCAAATGTAAATTTTACCTTAAAAAAAAGAAAAAAGCCGGTGTGAGAGATGGGCCGGGAAAGGGGCTGAAGGGGGGTCTCAGGGCTTTCTCAGAGCCCCCAGATCACCAAGTGCCTGTTAGTGTCCAATCACTTCGGATCTCTGAACGCCAGAGCCCAGCCCACCGCAGTGAGGACAGCGAGATAAAATTCAGGGAGGCACTCAGGGCACACAAAGGATGTGACCCCCTTTCTGCCTCAGCCCAACACTGTTGCCTGATGACTCCAGCGATAACAGGAATATGAGTCTAAAATGCCATTCCCCTCCCCGTCCCCACCTTCCTGGATCCTCTTTCCCCAACGGGTTCTCTCCCCTCTAAGCCTGTGCCAGCCCCGCCCCCGCTGCTCGGTTTCCACCACCTGTTATGGCTACTGCGCTTTGCCAATCACTTCTGTTTGCTTTCTGACCAGAGTATTTGTTTTCAGATTTTGTTCACTAAAGAAAAGACTGAACGGGGTTTCAAAACTTAATCTTTGCACCTGAAACCTCTGGGAACCAATATATCCTATCCCACTGCATTTAAACTTTAAATGCTTTAAAACTACATGAAATTTTGACGTTCCTTCTGGAGATTTATAAACTGGTATAGGGCCAATATTCAGAATACTTTAAATTCAAAATACTTGAAAGTTTTAAATCCAAGATAAATTGGATTCACAGTTTTTCAACCTCAAGTGCTAAGGAAGTCAGGACAATTCTCAATTTGACGTGAAATATATGCTCTTAAAGACAGAAGGAGCCTTAGGGGCCAGTGGTGAAGGCCAATCTCCCTTCCAGTCTAGAAAATGTTCCTGTAACTTGCTTGAAAGGGGCTCCTGAGCCTCTGGGGTGTAAAGCAACGTTGGCAGTTCTCGTCATCGAAAGATGGCACAGCAAAAATTAGCTGTGCTGCTTACATGTGTTTTACCACAACCACCACCACAACCACAACCACCAGAGGGAAAAAGCTGCTCTGCTACCTAGTCTCTGAAAGTTGGGGCTACTCACATCTCCACTGAAAAGGACCTGGACTAGATCATCCCGGAAAGCCCCTTGTAGCTCCAAGAGTCCCTGCTTCTCAAGTTCTTTCTTTCAGAGCTTAAAATTGCCCTTTTCCTTTGTATACAAGGACTCAAATTAGGAAACTAATGGCACACATCAAGTCAGTCCTGAAAGTTACTTCAGAGAAAGAGATGTGTTTGCGGGACACGTCTGTGTTACCCAAATGTCTCCTGTGTGTGGAGGGGACAAGGAAGAGAATTCAAATCCTGCAGGCAGCTGGTCTACACCACCTGCCCACAGTGTTGTACTTCAGAGAAAGCAACCACAGGGCTGATGCCCGGATCCTACAACCTTTGTCCCACAGCCAGGGGTCTGGACCTTACTCTCCGGGCTCGGTGCGGGGCCCCCCGGAGGAAAACGGGGAGTTATTCTGCATTTTCCCTCCTCTCCAGAGGTTACCCCAACGCGCCCTGCACACACGCCCTCAGATTCCCTCTGCGCTGTCCCCGCGCCAGGCCCCGTGCAGGTCTGCACCCCAGCCCCCAGCCCAGCCCCGCAGCGCGCCGCCGGGGGGCCCGGGGGTCTTCCCGCTGCGGCAGGGGCCGGGTGCGGGGCGCCGGGGCCGCGGAGGGGAACAAGGAGGAGGGGGCTGCAGGCCCGGATCCCGCCCCTTCGCCAGGGGCCCCGGACCCCCCTATGCACCCCGAGGCCGGTGCCTCTGCCCAGACCCCCGCTCTCCCGGGCCGGCTCACCCTCAGCGACCCGCGGTCCGGAGCCGACACCGCTGACCCCCGCAGCCCGCGGTCCTGAGGCGTCTCGGGCCAGCGCGAGCCTGCGAGCCCCGACTTCTGATTGGCCCCCCGCCATCTCCGCCGCCAGTCAGTGCACAGCGCTGGGGGGCGGGGCGCCACGCCCCGGCCCGCGAGATGCGGCTTCTGATTGGTCTCTCGCGATCCTCCTCCGCCAGTCAGCGCAAAGTGCCGGGGGGCGAAGCTCTGCCGCGGCCCGCCCCGCCCCGGCCCGCACGATCCGGCTTCTGACTGGCTTTCCGCTGCTCTGTCCCGCCTTCCCTCGGTGGTCACCCCACTCAGAATCCGGCTACCTCTCGCAGAAATGCACCTCTTGTTTCTGATTGGCTTTTGTAGATTCCGCCCCGCCCCCTGGCGGGCAGTACCGAGGCCCACTTTCTGCCCTGGAAGAGCACCTCGCGGTTTGGGTCGAGTCCGCGTGCGGCTCAGAGCGCCGTTGCCTCCAGACATCGGGGTGTTCGGCCTTCTCTCGCCTCGGCCTCCGTCCGGCTGCCGCCCGAGTACGCTCCTCGCGCGTCCCGGTTGCCTCCCTCGCGCCGCGGGCCCCCGCCCCTCCGCCGCGCGCCGACTCCGCCTCCGCCTGGGCTCGCGTCGCAGCCGCCTGGCCCTCGCTGCCAGGCCGCGGGCCGAGCCGCAGATGGAGGGGGCGAGAGGGAGGCCCCTGGCTGCCCGCGCGCCGGCCCCGGTCGCGCCGAGATCCCCGGCAGGAAATGCTGTGTGCACGCAGGGCGGGGGTCCCCGTGGTCGGGGCGCCAGGCAGGACTTCTCGGTGGGTCGGAGCTCTGCACCCCCACCCCTCACTGCGGGTACCGCACCCTCCCCGTGCGGGTGCTGCACGCACACCCCTGCGGGTAGAGCACCCCGCGTCCCCCGCCCCTACCCCGTGTGGGATGAGGAGGAGGACAGAACCGTAGAAAATGGTGGTGAGAGACGAGTCAGGGCTGCTAGCTCCGCGCTTGCCTCCTTTCCACCCAGGATGTCTTTAGAAACACTCTTTTGTAATTTGCCCTTTCATTTTGTTTTTTTCTTGTTTTTCAGTAAACTATCCTCAGCTTGGGGCTTGAACTCACAACCTCAAGATCAAAAGTCGCATGCTCTATGGACTGAGTCAGGTAGGTGCCCTGGCCCTTTAATTTTAAATGAGCATCTTTAATAAATCCTCATACATAAATCTTTTGTGCATTTCCATTTAGTTCCTTAAGATACCTGCTCAGTCATATCACTGGGTCTAAGAGAATGAACATTTCTAAGGCTTTTCACACATGCTGCCAAATCATGTTTTTCTTCAAAACGCTAGTACCAGGTATCAGTGAAAAATCTCCCCCAGTCTAGTGTCATGTCACTGTTAGATGAACAATGTTTTTCGTCTCCACCTGGGCACCTGGAACACTTAAGTAGTGACTCAGAGTTGAGTGGTCAAAACTTGGAAACAGAATGAACCATTTGCAGGCTGAGATTGCAGCCATGATTTTGTATCATAAACTGTCCTGTCACACGATAGCCCAGTGTGTGAAACTTCCTTTACTGTATATTGCAGGTTGTTAAAAATGATCAAAATTCAGTGACCACACAATCGTCACCATACAAGCACATTTTTGTGGGGATTACATAATACATCTGGCTTTGCAATACATGTTCTGATTTTGAAGTACACTAAACACAAGCCTAACAGTCTGGTATTTTGAAAAATTATCGAACAACTCACATCAAACCAAAACAAATAAGCTAAAGCTAAACTAATTTATAATTTTAAAACCTGGACTGGCATCAAGTGGAAACTGGCAACAAAAGGCACTGGTGAGACTCCCTTGTAAGTTCCAGTGCCCAAACCACCAGCATGTGCCTGTGTGGGATGAGCCTTTGTAACGCCAACTTCACAGAAGACTGAAGTGGAATCTTCAGAACATCTTTAATCATGTACCAGTTTTGGTTTATGAACACCAAATTTCAATAAACTTTAATCACTCAAGTTCCTTATAAGAGTGGTACCAAGGGCAGGTTTGTTTGTTTGTTGTTGTTGTTGTTTTTAATTTTATTTCTGAGAGAGAGAGTGGGGGGGGGGGCGTGGTCAGAGAGAGAGGGAGACACAGAATCTGAAGCAGGCTCCAGGCTCTGAGCTGTCAGCACAGAGCCCTGAACCCACAAACCGTGAAATCATGTCCTGAGCTGAAATAGGACACTTAACCGACGGAGCCACCCAGGCGCCCCCAAGGGCAGGTAGTTTTAAATCAGTGGGCAGTTGACCAGATTTACAAAACATTGCTCCAGGACAGGGGCCCACAGCGCTGGCTCCCAGCTCTGGATGACCTGCTTCATGGAGCACTAACAACAGCCAGCAGAGGGAAGAGGTGTCACCATCAGCTGACCCTAACATAAAGAAGCTCATGAAAACATCTCCATCCTGCATCAAGAGAAAGCCATTTCTGGGGCGCCTGTGGCTCAGGCCATGATCTCCTGGTTTGTGGGTTCAAGCCCAGTGGCGGGCTCTGTGCTGACAGCTCAGAGCCTGGAGCCTGCTTCAGATTCTGCGTCTCCCTCACTCTCTGCCCCTGCCCCACTTGCACTCTCTCAAACATTAAAAAAACAAAGCCATTTCCTCCCGTAATACGACTTCTAGCATGAGACCAATTCAGTCCTAAATGTTCACTTTGAACATAAATTATCTCCACAATGAAATATCTGTAGTATGAAAGTTATGTGCAGAGGTCCAACTACTCTCTACATATGTGTTCTTTTTTAATTAAATATCTTTATTTATTTCTAGGAGAGAGAGAGAGAGAGACAGCGAGAGCAGGGGAGGGTCAGAGAGAGAGGGAGATAACAGACTCTGAAATAGGCTCCAGGCTCTGAGCTGGCTGTCAGCACAGAGCCCGACGCGGGGCTCAAACCCACGAACCGCGAGATCATGACCTAAGTGAAAGTCGGACGCTTAACCGACTAAGCCACCCAGGCGCCCCTCTACGTATGTATTTAATGTTTACTTGTACCAAAATGCTTTATCAGGCATAGGGAAATTAGGGAGAACCAGAATCTAGTAGGTACAAGATACATTTTCAGCTTGATTTCAAAACTCAGTCAACAGGACAGGGCTGCCTAGCACAGCAGACAGTCTTGGTCTCATGAACGTTCAGGGACAGGCTGCCCAGTGTTACTTGTAGAAGGGATCCTGCTGTGGCTCAGGGAGCAGGGTTTTCAACTAGAAAATGCGAGTCCGTGAACTTCTGCGCCTGCTAAACCACCCCTGAGTCCAGTTCAACTAAACCGTCCCCAGGAGGCTGTGCCCAGCGCACACCGTCACCTCTTCACTCTCCTTGGCCTCAGACCAGAAAGGAAGGCTGGACAGAGGGGCGAGGACAAGGGTCTCGCGTCCTGGCAGCCACGTGGGGAATGACTAACACTAAGGTAGCATCTTCAAAGAGGAATTCCTGGAGGCCATCCTGTTTCTTTTTAAGTTACGGTGTTTTAGTTTCAATCACAAAACATTTTATAACAAGAGATGTGATAATACAATTTTCTTTATTAAAAATAATTTACAGCATCAATAACATATACACAATTGTCATCAATTGAACTTTGCCTCCAATATATTTTTATACAATACTTAACATTATTGAACTTAAAACTGTTACACTGTTTGGTTGGCTTTAAATAATAGACAATGATTTATAGTTACTTGAGATACGTGGTTTCATAGTCATATTACATGTAAAATTGATAGAAACGTCGGCACTGTCACACTTCAGGGGAAACAGCCACTAACAAAGCCCAAGTCCATCCCTTCCCCTCTTCGTGACTCCAAATCAAACTAAGATAGAGTCAACACCCGGGGTCTCAGCACCTTCTCCTAACCCGAAAGGCAGAAGACAGGTGTCTTTTAAAACAGCCGTGGTAAAACATCAAGTCCCGGCATCGTCACGCTGTCTCGTCACCCACCACCGAGAAGGTGGACGCACACGACACGGTCACCGTACGCAGGCGCCTTCGGCCCTGGCTCTGTCTTAGCTACGTGCGCCCTGCTTACAGGGCTAGGAAGTCCGCTGCCCAGGCAAACACGGAGTTGACAAGGCGACTGGCATCCCTCTCACTCAGTGCCCACTGTCACCTTGGAAACTTTCCAGCTGTGATGATGGCAACTCTGGCTGGACGGGAGCACCGCCACCTGAGGGCAGGAAGTGTGGCAACGGCAGGTGGCCTCATTTTTGTAAAGATGAAAACTGCTGCTATTGGCAATACCTTGGAAAGAGTAAATTACAACACTAATTTGCTTCTCTCGTGTGCCCACTATACTTCCTTTCCACAACATTCTGCATTTTTTAAAATAAAGTTACTCAGAGATAGTCAACAAAGGAGGTAAGCGAAACAATAAAAGGCAAGAGATGTCACCTCTTCGCCACCAGAGGATGTGGCCTGAGGGAGGACCACAGGGCACACAGCGGACTCCCCCTGCCTGCCCCGCCCCGGGCGAGGGGCTGGAAAGTCCTCAGTTCACGGGGACCACCTGCGTCACCATGACCTCGTGGCTCGGCTGCCGCCGACATCCAGGCCTCTGCCCACAGCCACGCGCTACAGCGCTGCTGAAAGACGACCGAGGTGTCATCACAGTCTGCAGTCAGTGCTTCTTCGAAGCATGTAACAGGTATTCTGACATTCGACTTGTAAATCCTCCCTCCCTAATTCATGTTTTCATTTAAATTAAAAACACACGCACCGACAGATACGCAGGCGGAGTAAAATATCGAGAACACAGTATGAAAGTACCAAAGAAACACAGTTATAAAAATTTAAATAAAGAAGGGAAATCATTCTGTCAGATTCCAGTCCGTGTAATTGTCTTCACACAATTTGCAGAGTATTTTGAAAAGATCACGACCGTGTGATTGTGAGGAGATCACGACCGTGTGATTGTGAGATCACGACCGTGACTGTGTGCAGAGCTCTCCGCAGTCACATCCGGCCCACTGGTTCCGGCACCTTAAGGTGACACTGCTCCTCCCCCCGGGGGGCGACACGTGCCGCCAGAGCCCCAGCAGCCTCGCTGGGTCCGAGGA